AGAAGCTCTTTAACTTGATATAGTCCCATCTATTTATCTTTGCCCTGAATGATTATAATTTAAAATATCTTTGAGGTCTAGTTTTTGTTTGGGTAATAGACACCCTCAAAATCCGTGACTACTATGTACAACACTACCTTAATGTTTTCTGCTGTTCCATTCTGGCCTCCACATCCCCAGCCAAATCCATGCCATTTCATCCATTTGTGATTGCAGTTTTGAGTAGGATTTATTTGGAGGGGGGGCAGGGAAACAAGGCTCCACCCACCCACTCCAGGTGAAGCTAGTCTTCCTACCCCTCCCTGGGAAACACTGCAGAAGTTGCTTTTGTCCCCTCATGGTCTTCAGCTGGAGATTCAGTTTTCTTAGCCCATTCATTTTATGTACAGATACAGTAATTCTAGGCTGTCAAAACAAAAAGGACCTGAAGGTTCAAGAGTCATGCCCCTCGTTTCACACAGGAGGAGACTGAGGCCCTTGGGAATAGCCAGCAGCTGCCCCTGTGTTCGCCATGCCTTGCCCCCTGACACGCTGAGTAGCTTGGAGGGATGTGCAGGGATGACAAGCCTTGTGGACAGTATCACTCTCTCAGGCGCTATCTAAGGTACCTGCCCCAGAAACATAAGGTTAACACTATGGCTTTTGCCACCCCACATTGAACAGCTTTCTCATCTGTGTCTCCCAACGCCCCCCAACCCCCACCAAAGAAACTTCCTTGCTTAAGTCTCTGAATGCCTTCTTGAAGTCCCTTCCCACATAGATGTCTTAGACATTCTGAAGCCTCTGTCAGAAACTGAGCCCCCAAAACCTTGGCTTTCAGCCAGCTTTCTCTTCCTCTCTTTACCATTCAGCCCAGCCCCAAACAGCCATTGTCCTCAGTATCATTCTCTCTCATCTCTCATGGGTCCACGTTTTCCTCCAGAAAGTATTGTTCCTGTTGGCTCTGTCTTAGCAAGTAGCCTGGTTCTGGTTGCTTCTCACAGCACCCACCCCCAGGACCCACCCTTGTTCCAACCCTCTGTCTTGTCTTGCCTGGGTTATTGCATTCATCTCCTAACTTAGTCCCTTTGTTTTCACTCTTGGTCTTCCCAGCAACCAAAGTAAATTTTTCCAGTGTCCTCCAGCTCATGTCACTCTTGGCTAAACTCCCCAGTGATCCCCATCTTACTTTGTCTTACCTAGTGCAGAACCCTCCCTCCCACCTATACCTCTCCCCCACCCCGCCTACCCCTGCCTCCTCTCCATCTTCCACTTCCATGTCAGTCTGCTCCCCCAGGACATGAGGCCAGCATGCCATACCACCACTATGTTCCCTTTGCCTGGAATGTGCTTCCTCTCCACCACATGGCTCTCTCCCTTATCATTTAGTCACTGTTTAAATAGCTCCTGAGATACAACTTCTTTCCCTATCCAAAATGATGCTGCTCATCATTTGGCTATATTATTCTTCATAGTATATACTCACTTCCACTGGAAATCATATTATCAACTTATTTGTTTACCTGTCTGTATCCTAGGTCATAAGTTCCAGGAGAGCATGGATGTTGGCTCTTTTTTTTTTTTTTAAAGATTTATTTTATTTATACATACAGAACTGGGGTACAGGCCAGAGGCTCAGGGGCAGTGAGAGGCTTCACCAGAGACAGAGTGGGGAGCAGAACAGGCAGATCTACGAAGTACACTGCTGAGGGGAGCAGCGGGCGGGCCAGGAGAGGTCTGCCACGCCATGTAGTCACCTCCAGGGCAGGCAGGAATCGAACTCATGCGGAAGTGGCTTTTGCTTCTCAGTGCAGTGCTTTAACCCGCTGCGCCACCAGGGAGGGCCGGATGTTGGCTCTTTTAACCACGTCTCTGTAGGCCTAGAACACTGACTCACCAGCCAGCCCTCAAATATTTCTTAAATGAATGAATGAACAAAACTCAAGAGACTTCACATTCATTTATTCATTCAACTATTCTTTGAAGATTGTTTATGCCAGGCCCCAATTACATGGGTCATTCATTCAGACAAGGTCCCCACTTCTGGGGCTGACAGTCCAGCTGGGGCCCAACTAAAGGTGCAGCAAGAAGGGTGTGCTAAAGGGTCTGCGAGGGTGGCAGAACCCTGGGGCCTCAGCCAGCAAAACATTGTGGGTGACTCATCTCTCCAAGCAGGGGTTGAAGAGAGAAGGGGTAGTTGGGGGAAGGAGTTCCTTGCCCAGCTCAGAGACAATGCCCCAAGCTCACAGCAGATGTTCCTGTGTGGGCACAGCTCTCAGGACCTTCGCATATTGACTTAAAACAACTCTGACTCTCCCCATTTGTGGAAGCTTAGAAAAGTGAGCTTGCCCAGTATCATACTCAGGGAATGAGAAGCCAGGATCAGCCTAGTGATCTGACTCCCAACTCTGCCCTCCACCTCCAAGGAGAGGGAAAGGCAGGTCTGGTGGGAGAGCAGAGTGGGCTGGGAAAGTGGGAGAGGCCAGGCAGTGAGAAGGGTCTTGCCAGCCACTGATCAGTTCAGGTTCCATGGTCCTTGTAGGACTTCTGTGGAGGCTGGGAGGTATTGGACTTGAACTAAATGGAGCCCCCCTCCCCCAATTTTGTGACCTTTGTAGCAGGGGTGAGCATTTTATCTCAGCAGGAAGCAAGCTGAATGAGTAGGTTTCAGGGGACTGTGGGTGGGGGTTGTGAGAGCTCGTGGTTGGGTTGGGGGAAGAACTTTTGCTGAACCATGCTTTCCCCGGTCCCCTTTCCTTCCCCTTCAGCCAACCCTGGTGCAGTTCTCCCCTGGTGGAGAGTGACTCTGGCTCTTGAGGACCACTCCTTTCGCATGACCTCCATGGTGTCTGTCCACACAGGGGCTAAGAGCCTTCCTGATGGGGATGGCCTCCTCATGGTACCCACACAGGCCGTGGGATTCTCCTCCCCAGCGCTTCAGGGAGAGGATTGTTTTCTGTTTTACAGAGGAGGAGATAAGGACTCAGAGCCTCAGGTACCTCCCCAAAAATTCACTGTGAGGGCTGCAGCAGGATCCAAGCCCAGTCTGGGCACTCCCCAGGGGGACTATATTGCAAGTGGGTCACTGGCTAGAAGACTTTTCTGTGGACTGAGAATTAAGACCCAGGGTGCGTCAGGGTTTGGGAAGTGTGTTCCCTAACGAGTCAGTTAGAGCATCCCACTTTGGGGTGTCCGAGGCTCCCCTGAGATTGCGGCTCTCCGCTCAGGGAGCTAGTGCAGCCTTCAGGGGTGGGGGGGGGGCGGGTAGTAGCTGCAGCATGCGGTCTGCAGGTTGCAGGGACTCCAGGGTAGATGCTGACAGCCCCGGGGTGGCCTCATCCCACCCCAGTTCTAGACACTGCTGGGCAGGAAGAGTTCAGCGCCATGCGGGAGCAGTACATGCGCACGGGGGACGGCTTCCTCATCGTCTACTCCGTCACGGACAAGGCCAGCTTCGAGCACGTGGACCGCTTCCACCAGCTTATCCTGCGGGTCAAAGACAGGTGAGCACAGCTGGGGGCACCCCCAGGCTCACAGCAGACTACGACTGCTCTCTCTCTGTTTCTGTCTCTCTCTGTGTCTCTTGTGCTCAGATTTTCAGGTGAAAACTGAGGCACAGAGAAATGAAGCCAGACTGGCTCCTCCGACACCTGCCCTAGTTCTTGCCATTGGCCAAATTGTTTTCAGACCTCCAGGGGTGCAGTCTCCCTCTGCACCGGTGCCCATAAACTCCCCACTGACAAATCAGGGAATCATAAGTAATATCTCTGTTACTCAACTTCAAGTTAACCACATTTAATTACATTTAAAGAAAAAGTGAATTTTTCTCTCTAGTATATATTACAATTAATTCAGTGTTGACATTGAGATTCAGATGCTCCTAATTAAAGGGTTTTTTAATTTTTCTTTTTTTGGCATTATGTGAAGTGGTTAGATAAGTTGGAGTCTGTTTGAAGACCAACTGGTCTTTTCAGTTAACTGGACCTTAAAGAGTCAATGTTAAGAAAGTAAAAGGATAACGAATAGGAAAACAGCCTACTTTGAAGAAATCTCAGTAAATATAGAGAAATCAGTTAACACCAATTCCAAAGGCAGTGTCAATAACATTACTAGGTAAAGGGATATACAACTCACACACACACACGCACACACACACACACACAGCTGAAGATAAATGCAGGTCAAGCCAATTCTAGCAATGGCTCAGATATGGGAAAATATTCAATCTTCTCTCTAGTCAAATAAATACAGCTGTCAAATTATGCATTTAAGGAAAATACCCAGTTCTACCAAACACGCTGTGAGGCTGACATTCTGTTCACTTTTGATCACCAATGTGCACATATGTAGGTGGGTTCTTTAAGGCAAACATGCCTCTTGCTCCCGCCTTCTTCACCTGGGAGCTGTCCTGATTGGCAGCTACCATTGTGCCAGCTGTGTGCCCTACCCTGGTCCTGATGCTCCTCAGGTATCAGGGCTCATGGCCACAGCAACCCTGTGTGATTGGTAATTAGGGTGTTGGGGAGTGGACAGAAGCAGCTCTGGGAACCCAGTCCCTGGCCCAGAAGCCCCCCAGTGCCTTCACTGACAGTACAGGGCAAGGAGCTACTGAGGACCCCTGATCAGCTGCAACAAGCCTGTGGCTTCACGTCCAGACAACCAGATGGCCCCACCCCAGCCCCTTTCTGGGGAGAACAGACTCTTAAGTCAACCGGGCTGACTGCAGAGGCTCCGTGGGCTGTGCTCTGCCTGACATACAGCTGCACACCATTAGCCAGGTGTGGAGGACAGCGAAACCTCACTGACTGCTGTTTCTTTATTTCTAGGGAGTCATTCCCGATGATCCTTGTGGCTAACAAGGTCGATCTGATGCATTTGAGGAAAATCAACAGGGAGCAAGGAAAAGAAATGGCAACCAAACACAATGTAGGTTTGTTTGTTTGGGGGCGGGGGTGGTAGTGGAATAGGGAGTCAGGGGGTGATGCCCCATCACCCCTGCAATCTCAGTCTATGAAATAGGAGTACCCAGAGCTCCCAAGTGGTGGGCTAGATTCACAGAGGCCTGGTGGGGCTTATGAGATCTCCTGTGAAACAAGATAATAGACTGGGGGGCTCTGCTGTGGAGACCCAGTTCCTTCACAGCGCCTGTCAGCCAAGGCCTTCAGGCCACCTCCTGCTGCCTACCCCCAGTTGCTGGACTGAGCAGAGTGGCTTCTGTCTCCCCCTCTGAGCCAGACACCTGACTGTCCTCAGGATCACGGGACCAGCTGTGTGCTACATTTTGCTGGGAGCACTTACTCCACTACATATGGTCACTGTAATTGTCCCTGTCTTACAAGTGGTCAAACTGAGGTTTGTCTAGGCCATAAAGCGATATCAGTTTTGCTGTTTTCAGTTCCCTTTTGCCCTCTAGATGGTGCTGGGTGCGGTCTGTGGGCTTCTTCCCTCTTCTCCCCCATGTTGGCCCAGCCCATGCTGCTGGCCTCACTGGTCCATTGTGGTGACATCCACCCTGCCTGCCTGCTGGGTGGGCCCAGTTCTGGAAGTAGAGAAAGGGGCTGACTTCTAGTGACTTCTGCCTTCCATGTTCACTCACATATTCTTCCAAAGTCTTAGGTCCTAGGAGGCAAACCTCTTGCCTCATGCTGCTCACTTCCAGGAACAGGAGGTAGGCAACAGAGCAAATTCAAGTTTGTCTGTCAGAAGGTGACATGTGCAATGAAAGAATGTACCTCAGGGCAGAGGGTGGGGAGTGTGGAGTGGAGGGAGACGCCTTTCCAGAGTGGTCAGGGAGAGCCTTTCTGGGAAGGGTACCTGTCAGTGAGGACTTGTTGGAAGTCAGGGAATAACAAGTAAAAATGAGTTTGAGGTAAAGGTGCAGCAGAAGTAGGAGGGATGAAAAGCAAGGGGTGGGGGCACAGAGGCCTCCAAGTTTAACCTCTTGTGGACTTTTACACAGAAAAAGAGGAAAACATCGTAGGGTTTTGATGATAAGTGACCTGCCCTGATACGTGGCCGAGCACCTCTCTGGCAGCCAGTGTAGATAGTGGTCTGGATTGGGGAGCAAGAGGTTCGGCCGGGGCTCCTGCCAGAAGCCAGGTGCAGGTTGAGGTAAACCTTCTCCTGGCCATCCCACGTAAGGACTCTGGCCTGACCTTACAGGGTCTGTGAGACTGTCAGCTGACTGTTGTACCTGGAAGAGGTACCCAAACTGATCCAGCACCCCTACCCGTGTGGGGGATGCCAAGCAGGGAGTAGAAAATGAGCCTTCAAATCTTGATTCTCTGTGGGATGCTGCGTGGCCAGACAGCCCACCGCAGTGGGACAGCCGACAACAGAACAACCTCCATTGACAGCATTTTACTCCCTTGTGATCAGAGGCTCACATAGTTGTTGAATATTTCAGTTTCCTGTGCTTGGTCCTTTTTGTTGGAGTCAGAGACCAACTGCGAGACCTCTGCTTGAAGCCACCAGGGGAATACCTGATGTCCCACAATGAGAATTGATGGAAGACAATGATGTGTCCTGGGCCTAGGTTTATAACATGCTCCTCTAAAATAACAACTTACACTATAACCCATCCCCCCATGCATTTAAAAGTGTTAATCATCTTCGTTTTCTACACTGTGCTTTCCTTTTCCAAGGTATTACAACAAAATTAACCTTGTAATTAGTGACATGCTATGGAAATTGAAGTTGTTCAGTCTCATCACAAACAGCTTGTAACCCATCTCACCTAGGGAGTTCTACATGGGTGGTGTGAACCTCTCCAGTCTCCAGACAGAGAGGGGCTTGCCCTTTCTGTCTTAGTGGGGTCACTGTTGTAGGAGAAGACAGCCCATGCTCAGGGCTGTCCCAACATCACGGAACCTTTGTTCTCCTGTGCTAGCCCGAAGCTTGGTGTGGTGTAGACATGGCCTCACACCCCATCCTACCGGCCAGTGTTTCAGTTGGACAGTAAGCCCTTCGCATTACAAGTACAGCCTCTAAACAAGGCTGAGGTCTTGGGCTCTGGGAGATTAAACAGGAACTGGCTGGGCAGACTTGGTTCTGGTTGGGGGCATGGACTGGCCAGGGGTCACCAGGGTAGGGGCCCTGTCCCTGGCTCAGCCTAGCCTCATGTCCCCCACCATGCTCCTCCCAGTCTGGAGTCCCCCTTGGAAGGTACAAAGAGGGACAGAGCCTTCCTGCAACCCAAGGCAGAGAAATAAGCCTCAGAAAGCAAAATGAACAGAATCAGAACATGTTTTAATATGATGTTTTAGTTTGATAAATGGAACAGTCCTTAGTCTTAAGATCAAGTCTGTAGTCTATAAAAAGATCATTTTTATTCTATTTTTAGGGGGCTATTAAATATCTCAGTGGCTAGAGAACAAGAGGGAATTGCAAAAGCTGTTTGTTAAACTTTCCAACCTTAAAGAGCGAGCAGCTGCCAAGGAGGATTGAGGTTGCTGGATCCTGGCCTTCTGTGGGGCCTTCAAGCCGGTGGTTCTCAGAACCTACTGAGAACTTGCATCTTAGGGAAGGGGGCTCGATGGACCTCAGTGCTCTCTTACCAAGGTGGACTTTGTCTTGCAGATTCCGTACATAGAAACCAGTGCCAAGGATCCCCCTCTCAATGTCGACAAAGCCTTCCACGACCTGGTTAGAGTAATCAGGTGAGCACTACACATTCCCTGCACACTGGCCTCCACCTGTGATGGCAGACACCAGGCCAGCTACTTGCTCCGAGGCCAAGACTGCACGACTCTGGGCCTGTCTTGGGTTTCTTCTACCTCCATCCATTTCTCTCCCTGCCACTTCTGGGTGAAGTGCCTGCCTATGGCCACCACCTCTGGCCTCCCCTGCCACTCAGGCCCCCCATCATACCCTTCATGTTCTGCAACACAGAAGCTGTCAGTGCAGTGACAAACAGGTCCTCTTCTCTATGCTGGTACCAGAGCACATTTTGCCTGCTTCCCAGGCTCAAGCTTCAGAGGTGCTCACCATGTCTCCTTCCCAGACCACACACACTGTCAGTCTCTAAACTTTGTGAGAAATCCTAATAACAGTGTCTTGCACATTCCTTTGCACACTCAGGGCCTAAACCTTAATTGCCCCCAGCTTTGATGACTGAAGCAGCCTCCAGGCTGGTTCCCTGGCAACCGGCTGCCCCAGTTCCAAAATCTTCAACACAGAGAACATCCTGAATGATGGGTCTCAAAGACCATGCATTTAGGATGTTGTCTTATGCTGGTGAGCTCTCAGGCTGCCGTTTAGTATGAGATCAGAGAACTCCAATGGAGTTCTTCCTGACCAGCCACCCCAGCCTCTCAGGCACACGTGGACACACTGAATGGCCTCACCTCTTTGTCATTTCCCAGCATGGACTGTGTTATTGCAGCCGTCGTCTCAGGTTTAGCTGGCAATTCTGCACCCTTGAAACAATTTTCCTTTGGCCATTTTGTCGTCACTGGGATATGCTACCAGAAAGTGGTAGTGTCTTAGTTATGGGCCTGTGGTTCCATGGGCAGGTTTTAGACATAGGAAAAATTAACAGGCAACACGTAAAAGCTTGTGTACACAGTTAACCTGTCATTTTATTTAAAATATGCAAACCAGAAACAGAGGTCAGCACTTTATAACCCATAACGTAGCATATGATTTCAATAAAGGCAGCCACAGCGTGGCGTCAGGGCCAGGAGGAGCAGAACCCTTGCTGACTTTGTTTTTCTTACATCGTCTCCAAAGGCAACAGATTCCGGAAAAAAGCCAGAAGAAGAAGAAGAAAACCAAATGGCGGGGAGACCGGGCCACTGGTACCCACAAACTGCAGTGTGTGATTTTGTGACAAGCCTGAGGCCCTGGGCGCAGTGACCAAACTGGCCAGTCCCTGGGCCCCTCTACTGCCTAACCGCACTGAAAACCGTTTCTAACCATGACCCCTGGCCTGAGGACTTGGCACAGGGAGGGGGAAAGGGAGGGAGGGCAGGCAAGGGGGAGATGGGGCCTGGCTTTGTCCAGAGGGCACCAGCTTTCCTGCTTCTTACAGGACAAGGAAGTGACAGGTGAACTGAAGCAGCATCCAGACCCTTTGTTAGATTCTACCGGGTTCCTCTCTTGGTGGCTGCATTGTTTATTTGAACTACGTAGTATTTTGGTTTGTTGTGGAATTGCCAGTCCATGAGGTACAAAATAAGCCATGAACAAGTCCCACTCCTCCTCCCCCAGTCCACAGTGTCTGAGCTTGGGTGTCTTTTGTAGGTTTTTAAATTATTTTAGTGGTTATTATTTTATTAAAGGAGTCTGTGCCCACTACCTGGTGAAGTTTCACCTCTTCAGTAGACCTCGCTGTAATGTATCTGGACTATTGTTGTTTTAACTGAGATTTCCCAGCAGTGCCAAAACTCAGCTCAGTCTGAAAGTGTAGTGACTAAGAGGTGAGGTCAGTGGGACCTGTAGTTAGAGACCTCAGGACACAGGCCCTAGTCTTGGCCTGACAGCTAGAGAGAAGCAAGGAGGTATGGTCTACCCAAAGGCTTTTACTATGGCTGAGGACGCAGGTGGCAGGAAACAGAATTTTATTTTGCTGAGGGGAGAAGCTGGTGTGAGAATGTTACTTCCAATAGGGGTTTTCTGGAAATGTTAAATAAGCTGATTGGTTGCAGAAGAGTTCATTTGTCAGACAACGTGGGTTAAGTTTGGTGTTCTTTCTGGCCTTAGAAAAGGCTTTCTCAGGTCTGTTTGTCCCTCTCTGCTCTCTCACATGGCCTGTGCTGCCTGATACAGACACACTGACATGGGCATGTACATTTCTTCACATCAACTATGCTCATGTGGACACCATCCAGAAAACTAGCAAGTGCTAAATCTTAACCAAAATGATCCAATACTGTTCTTATTGAAATGACACCAACACCTGAAGTCATATTCCCTTTGAATTAACCTACTGCCATTTCTTAAACCCAGCACCTGAGCAAAGCCCTGTAAGTATCTGCAGACTTAGTAGTAGCTTCCTTCCCAGCACACACTTTTGTTAATCTCTTAGATCTTAACTATGATGTTTGATCAGAGGCAGAAAGGAAGGTTGGTGGTGATGACATCACTTCCAATCAGCTGTTTCTGCACCGGGACAGTCTTCCAATGCCCTAATGATGCCCACTTCTCAGGTGTTGCTGGTGTGAGCCAAAGACTGGAATTTTCTGGCCAGGGTGGGGACAGAGGGACAGCAGGAACTCATTGTCTCGCTGAGGTCAAAAGATGAAGCAGCATGGCTCATGACCTTATTTTACATCTGTTTCAATCAGCTTATTAGGCAAACTAAAGCATCCCTAGCAGGTGTCCTGCCTACTGTTTGGAGAAAGAAGTCTGGAGAGAGTGAGTCCCCAGCTGGGCATGGATTCTTCCCCAGTTTTGAAAGATCATAATAATCCAAGGCCTGATCAAAGAGTGGTTCTGCTACAGAGTGAAACTATTGGAACTTTGGTTAGTTAGAAATCAGACCTCTCTTTTTATCTGAATAGCCCTTTCTAGCTGACCCTAAAAGGAAGGTTAACAAAGAACATTCCAGATGAGGCACTCAGAGCTAAACCCTAATAGGACAAGGCCCTTTCCAACCTCTATGCTCCTCCACGCCATATCCACAGCAGCCCTGGTGCCGCTTGGTGGCAGCTGCAAACTGGAGATGAGACAGACGGGAAGAAGTAAGGATGAAGAAGCTTTGCACCAAGGGAGTGGTGGCAAGGAGCGCTGCACACAGGGTAGTGTCTGGTGAGGAAAACTGCAACCTCTGCCCACCATGAAGACTGTACTCCCCTGACAGCCCTGAGTAGGGAGTTTTGTTGGAAGCAGATCACTTGACCCAAAATGAAACCCTTAGCAATGAAAGTAACCAGAAGAAAGGGTTCTGGCCAGTTCTGGCCTCCAGCACTGACCCCACCTTCCAGGTGTCTGTCACACACTCAGCCATGGCTGTCTCCACAGTGCCCCAGGGCAAAACCAGCGAAAGATGATCTTCATCTTATGTTGCTGAGCCAATGGTCAGCCTTAATCACGCATGACCTCATCTGCACCTTAAGTGAGATGAGTAAATAACACCATCAAAAGACTATTCTTTGTGTTTAGAGTGGCTGTGGCAGCTCCCAGGTAGCCAGAATGGCACGTACTGGGGTGTCCCAGTATACTCTGCCATGGTCAGGGAAACCATTTGGCCATGCTACTCCGTGACTGAGGAGCCCATGGAGATGTGAATCTCTGGTGACATCTTGGGATCCCATTGGACTCCCAGACTCCTGAGTAGTGAGTGTTACCATCACATCCCCTGGGCACACTCTTCTTGAAGTCTCCTTAACTTATGCCTTTGCCACTGTGTGCTCTCAGATTCCTTTCAAAAGTTCTGTGTCCCTCTTGGAGGGCCCCTGACTTCCCCTGTGCCACACCTGGACACCTGGGTGGTTTATTACCTTTCCCCTGTCTTCCTGGGGCACTTGCTGTGGAGAGTGCCTGGTTGGCCCACCGTGGCTGGTCTCACTCTACTAGGAGATGTGACCCATTAACACACGGCAGCTCTAAGTCATAGGTCTCACAGACACATGGTGGTAAATCTGGAGCACAGACACACTCGTTAGCCACTCACTGGAAACTCCAGGCCGGGTGGAGGTGGATGAAAGATACTTGAATTCTGGAGCACCTGTGAGCACACAGCTTCTGCTTCTGTTACACAGTATTAACAGGTGGTCATTGTCGTGACATGAGAGTGAAGCCCGAAAATGTCAATGATGCTTGAGCCATTTATGTAACTTTTTATTTTTTGTGTATCTCAACTCATTAATAAAGAACAGGAACGCTTTCTGTCTTATTTCCCCTCTTTCAAATGTTCCCAAAGTTTTGCCCAGAACATTGTTAAGTTGCCCAGATCACCCCTCTGTGAGGGACCAAACCTAAAGGAAGGGGCAGCCCCCTGGTGGCCATGACGGGTTCTTCTTCCTGCTCGAAGCCAGAGGATGGAGCCAGGCTGGCACAGCATTGAGACTCAGCCCTGGATGCAGGGCAGACCTGGGTTTGGACTCTGCTTTCCACCTCCATGTACCTTTGCACAGGTTGCCTTCTTCGGCCTCCAGCTCTCCTGCATGTGAGTCAGATGGTAGCACTGCCTCTTCAGTGGACTGAGGGCTGAGGGTAAGTGTGGGGGAGCATGGCAAGGAGATCAGAAACATGCTCTTTGTAAAGGCCCCTGTAGGATGGTCGGATGCTGCTTTTTGTGCGCACTGCCCCATGCTCCCATCCTGTTACACAAGGTGATTTTATTTTTCTGTTAGTGGAATCTGGTGGGTACCAGAGGCTGAACAAGCTGAGCCTCTCTGTGTCCTTTATCCAGAGACTAAAGATCAAGTCTCTCTCAGTATTTCTTAGGGTGATAACAGTTGAAACATGAAAACTTGGAAGGTAGAGTTGCTTCTCACATTCTCTAGGCTGGTGGCAGAGAAGGTCAGATGCAGACTATAGAGGAAAGACCTGGCCACCTGGCCATTCATTCATTCCACAAATGTTTATTGGGCCCTACTCCATGTCAGGCATCAGGCTGGGTGTTAGTGATAAACCAGAGCAAAAGATTTCTCATAATCAGTACTCCTTTAGTCCTGTATTACTTTCCTGGGACTATTCTTACCAATTACCAAAGTGGCATAAAGTAGATTTGTCTACATTCTGGAGAGAGTGGGACCAACGGGGATATCGAGCAACTGGCCCCAAGGTATAGGCAGAGCTTTGCTCGCTCTTATAGGGGAGAGCCTCCTCTTGCCTCTTCCAACTTGTGTGTCAAATCTCTCACCCTCCACCAGTGCACCCTCTTCCATTGAGAAGGTTGAATCAGATGTACTTTTCCTTCCAAACTCACTCCATGGCCTCTAGCCACCCACCTGGATTGCACCCACTTTCTCTTCTTTCTTGACTCCCCCACATGAGCCACCCCTGCTCCTGGCTAAAGCCATTCCCTTCTCTTAGTCACAAGGACACATCCTGCAACCCCACCCCTCTCCTGCCTAAGTAGTTCTCTCTCTCCAGGGTCTTTCCCATCTAAAAACACGAACAAAACTTTCCTTTGACCATTTCTTTTGCCAGATGCCATTGCTTCATTGCTTCCTCTCTAGGTAACCATCTTAAAAGTGTAACCTGTACTCACTGTCATAAATTCCTCTTGCTTCTTTCTCTTTAAACTGTTCCAAATAAGCATCCACCCATCCCTGTACTACCACCACCCTCCTCAAGGTCTGCAGTAGCTTCTGTCTTGCTGAATTCAACGTTCTCAGTCTTCTCACATTCATTGCATCATGAGTACACTCAGCCACTCCCTCTTTGTTAGTTGTGTCTGACATGTGCCACCTCATGATTTTCCTCCTTCCACTCTGTCACTCCCTTGCTGCTGCCCCCCCCCCACCCTCCTATCTTCCAACTAGCTTGTAACTGGAGCACTCAGAACCTTGATCCTCTTTAACTCCCTAAACTCCCTTTCCTGGTGATCTCATCCAGTCTGGAGATTTAGATGTCTTTAATGTGCTGCTGACTCCAGCTTGAAACTCTCATACCCAGCTGCTTCCTTCACATCTCCACATGGATGTCTAACAGAATGTCTCAGAGTTACTATGTCCAAAACCACATCCCCGGTCTTCCCCTCCATGCCTGCTTCACCCACAGCCCTCCCCAGCACAGCTGCTGTCAGCTGCATGATTCCAGCCGTTCAGGTCAAAAGCCTTGGAATGGTCCTTAACTCCTCTTTCATACCTATATCCAATCGGTCAGCAAATCCCACTGACTCTGCCTGCAAAGTATATCCATAACCACCCACTTCTTATACACCCCCCCCTTCTAATCCCAGCTGCCATTATTCTGGCCTTTCACTCATCCTCCTGCGCTTCACTCTTAGCACAACTTTTGTTAAATGCAAGTTGAAATAGCACCTCCCCTCTGTACAAGCCTCTGCCCCATCTCACTTTTGAGGCATGTCAGAGGGGACTATGCCACCGAACACCTAACAATGGGCTAATGTTCATTGTTCACAAGAGAAGGGAACTTAGACATGCTCAAGCTTTCAGGCTGCACTTACTCATTGAGCCACATGTCAGGACAATGGAGACATTAAAACTCTGTCACTGTGCCACAAGGCTTCACAGCTGATGGGGGTGAACAACATCTGCACATTGAGAAGGCCCCCTTTACCTGGGAGTGTGCTAAGAGGTGGGGAATTGTCTCATAAAACCTTATTCTGAGTAGATGAGATCCACCGAGGAGGGGAGCTTCAGCATTACCTGGAGCTTGCTGGAAATGCGGAGTCTGGGCCCCTCTCAACCTATTTAACACTGACATTTAAACAAGTTCCCAGATGATTATGTGTGCAGTGAAGTTTGAGTATCACTGTTCCAGAACATCAGTTTCAGCAACAAAACCTAGTTCAACCACCTCCAACCAGCAAAAACCTCAACCATTTTATGCTTAGCAATTAAAAATTGCCCCTCTGGGCTCTTCCTGGTGGTGCAGCGGGTTAAAGCACAGCACTAAGAAGCTAAAGCCAATTCAGCATGAGTTTGATCCCTGCCCCGGAGGTAGGTGACCCACATGGTGTGGCCGACCTCTCCTGACCCACCCGCTGCTCCCCTCAGCAGTGTACTTCGTTGATCTGCCTCTTCTGCTCCCCCCTGTGTCTCAGGTGAAGCCTCTCACCGCCCCCACACCTCTAGCCTATACCCCAGTTATGTATGCATAAATAAATCTTTTAAAAAAATTGTCCCTCTGCCTTTTATAGCTGCAAGATTCTATCTGCCATAGCAGCAAGCCCAGAAGTCTCCCAACACAGGCCTATGTGTCCCTTAATAGAAGTTTTTAGATAAAGGCAATTGGGCTCCCTTTTTGTATCTGAAACACTTTAGTTTTTATTTCTCAAAATATGGACCACTATGTCAAATGCAAAGAACAAGTGAACGCCATCTGAACTGAGACCAAGAAAAGGTTTTGTGATTTTAATGTGATCTTAAAAGTGGGCTATTCTATGCAAGGTGGAGATACACACATTGCCCAGCCTTCACTTTGCTGAGTCCCAACATGGTGTCAGAGAGCACGATCATGCTAACGTAGAAAAAAGTATTAAAAAAAAAAAAAAAACAGTTCTTACAAAGCCAAGAGCTGATGGCTGCTTTCAAGCAGAATATGCACCCTGGCAAGGATGTGGTCAACCATTAACTCTGGCTCAAACCCAGCTTGTTAGCCGGTCATGAGACCTGGGCCTGGAAGATGAACTGAGGTAAAATAATTGGATGAGTGGGTCTCAAACTTTGGTTCCAGACCAGCAGCTTTGGCTTCAACGGGGAACTTGTTAGAAATGCAAATTATCTGGCTCAGTTTCACGTCTCCTGAGTCAGAAATTCTGAGGTGAGACCCAGTAATCTGTGTTTTAACAAGCCCTCCAGGAAATTCTGATGCTCCCTGAAATTTGAGAACACTGAGTTAATACATGTTGATAAAAATAAAAATTCCTTCCATGTGAGAATAAACAGCTTGTTTTTTCCTCATCTGCAAGACAGCAGCTGGTTCTCTGGGCAAAGCTGCCCAGATCCTTCCTGCTCCTGCCTGCATCTGATTAACCTAGGACCCCTGTTTAGAGGTTGTTGACCTTTTCTCCATGGGTGACAGTGGCTGGTCTGTCCTTCACATGCCAAAAGCCATATGAAAATTGTGTGTATATATACATTCTTCTGGGGAGGCCATCTTATATTATTAGATTCTCATTGTGCTTTTGGGTACTACCCAGTATAAAAATAAACCTGCCCCTTGAATGTCCTTTTCTGACTTCAGATCTTTCTGGTAGTTTTGTGCTAGTGGGAGTGGGAAGAGGAAATGAAAGGAACAAAGCTCCATTTACGCTTCTAAGAAACTCAGACAAAATTCTTCACTTGGTTGACACATCCCTGAGCTCACCCCAACATCCTGAGGGAGGGAGCCTGCACCCTTCTCCTGGTTCCCCCACATGACTGTATGTGACCCACACATGATTCACCCACTTCTCCCCACCATTGTTAGCACCACTTGTCACTCGGGTCCCACAACTGGCAAAGGAAATCCAGGATGTTGTAACAGCCCTGGACTACTTATTAACCCACCACTGGGCTTGGAAGCTGGGGGATGGGAGGGGAGGGTGCCAAGGAGAGACATGTGGCAGGTAGCAAAGGCATGTGACTTCCTGACCACCTAGACTTGCACCTCTCTGAGGGCTGGACATCAGTATCGGAATCATTCTGGGAGCTTGGGGAAGAATCTCATTGCCAGGTCACAGCCCCCAGAATTGTGTGCAACTGGATTGGGACCCAGGTAGGAAGACATTTTATTTTTTAAAAAATTTATTTATGCATACAGAACTGGGGTACAAGCCAGAGGTTAAGGAGCAGTGAGAAGATTCACCAGAGACAAAGTGGGGAGCAGAACAGGCTGATCGATGAAGTACACTGCTGAGGGGAGCAGCAGGCAGGTGGATCACCTCCAGTCCTGGGATCTAATTGGCACTGAAGCGGCTGCTGCTAGCTTGCAACGTACCTGTTGCACCACCAGGGAGGGCCAGAAGATATTTTAAAGCTCTTCAGGTGATTGGGCTGTTTAGCAGCATTCCATTTTATTCTAGTTTGTTGAATATTATGGCTTTTCATTGGTAATTGAGTAAAAGAAACAACTGCCTGGAGGAGTCTGAATTCCTCAGGAACTCAGTTTCCCAGGGCTCTGTGTGTGTGTGAACGAACACTTGACCAGAGTTGATTCTTTCCCTGAAAGCCGGGCCTTCCTCAGAGAGGCTTGATAGTTTAAGATTTT